CTCTCTCTCTCATCAATAAATATATCAGTTAAGAATAAAAAAATAAAAAAATATGTATTTCCCTTTAGCATAAAATATATCCTCTCAAGAATGCCTAACATAAAATTTATGAAAAAAGTATATATGGCTTATGGCTGTTTCTGGCAAATATGCCATACATTTCTACAGATCACAAGTATCTAAACTACATAGTTTAAGCTGCATTGAAAGAGGAGACAGGACAGGACAGGACAGGACAGGACAGGAACGGAACGGAACGGAACGGAACGGAACGGAACGGAACGGAAAGGAAAGGAAAGGAAAGGAAAGGAAAGGAAAGGAAAGGAAAGGAAAGGAAAGGAAAGGAAAGGAAAGGAAAGGAAAGTGAAAAATTAAAGGACTGAAAAACCATTTTAAAAAGATTCCAGTGAATGATCTCCACTCTACAACTTAAGTCAAGGATCCTAGACTCTTCTCTTTGGATCTCCTTCCTACCCTCACTGCTATCTCCAGCCCACAGATGTTACACACTATCTCTCAGCCATCTCTTTCCCACTAGGCCCAGCTTCTGCTGAAAAACCTTCAGCCATTCTCCACAGGATATAAAGTCCCCATTCCCAACCTCGCTTTTATGGACCTCCATAATCTGAAACTGACCTTTCCATGCATCCCATTCTACTACCCAAAATGAAATCTCTATTCCAACCAAACAGGTCTCCTCATAGTTCTCAGACACTTGTTAGTAGTCTGGTTTCTTCTCAGCTGTTTTCAATCTGACAAGGTGCTATTCCTTACTTAAAACACCAATGAGTTCCCAAAGTTCCAGCAAACCTTCTCTACTCTAACCTACAACCAATTCCTGGGGAAGTCAGAATACTGACTTGTCACTGAATTGTTAACTTTTTACCATGTGTGTCTGTGTATCCTTTGCTTTTTCAAGAACTTAGCACAATACAGAGAGGACATGTCCCCTAGTTTGAACTTTATTCAACCCAAGGACAATGAACTCAATTACCTCCTTTTTTATCTCAACCCCAATATTTGTAGTAGGTGCTAAGTATGTTCTGATTGCTACATAACTGAACTCAGCAGTTAAGTCTTCAGGTCCCACAGAACCCCCGCCAACATCCTTACACACGTGTGGAATATTATTCAGAGCATCAAGACCTCACAATTACATACACCTAACAAGTATTTAGTGCCTGCAGGAGGCATCTTACAGGGCAATTAAAAACAGAAATCACTTAAACACACAATTCTGAAAATGCACCCAAAAAAATCCATGTTTGCAAAAACAATGTAAACATCTTAAAATATAAGTAGTCTGCCCTAGTTGATTAATTCTTGCTGCAGCTTTTCCCTCTGCCTCATGTCCTTCCTGCACTTCTTGACTCTCAGATGTGATGGAAAGGCCCAACTAGTTAGGCAAATGATTGACCTAGGCTGCAATTTCAGATGAACTAATCAAGCAATTTCCAAACACTGCAGAACCTTACTAATGTCTCTTATAAGTAGGACAAGAGAAACTGGACACAAAAGAATTAAGCGACCTGCCCAACTGTCATGTAACCAGGTCCTAACCGTGAAGGCGAATTAACTCAGATGTCCTGACTTAAATCCAGCGCTCTTAATCTTCTACAGGAACTAGAAGTAACGTTTAAGGAGCAAGCTGGATAAAGGCGGTGTCTTCCTAACTTGACAAAAGCTTGTAAGGGAAAGCTCTGTTCTAACTATCTTCTGAGAAAGAATTTAAGTTAATTAAACATGATTAAGCCGAAACCGGTTTGGCTCAGTGGATAGAGCGTCGGCCTGCGGACTGAAAGGTCCCAGGTTCGATTCTGGTCAAGGGCATGTACCTTGGTTGCGGGCACATCCCCAGTAGGGGGTATGCAAGAGGCAGCTGATCAATGATTCTCTCATAGATGTTTCTAACTCTATCTCTCTCTCTTTCTCTCTGTAAAAATTCAATAAAATATATTTTAAAAAGAAGAAGAAGAAGAAGAAGAAGAAGAAGAAGAAGAAGAAGAAGAAGAAGAAGAAGAAGAAGAAGAAGAAGAAAGGTTCAATGGAAACTTTTCTTTAAAAAAAAAACATGATTAAGAAAAGGATACTTTCTGGTTGCTCTCTTAAGCATGATTATAAATTATATTTCTTATGGTGAAGGACAGGAATGAAAAAGAATGCAAATACCTATTCACAAATTCACCAAAGTCTACCTTGTGGGGAGGAAGGCTGACGGCTGCCCTCCCCCCACTTCCCAGATGCACTAGCTGCTGCTGGGACACACCAGGCATGTGTCCTGCTTGGCAGAAGAGCTAACATGCAGTCACATAAATAGCTCTCTGCCAGTGGCCAAACTGGCTGTGCCATCTGTCTCTCTGCACACCAAAGCCTCTCTCCTCAGCTCCCTAGCTCCTGAGGGAGCTGCGATAGCCAGTCAGGGAAGGCACGTGCCCCCCGCCAGGGACACGGGTAACACCAGGCTTCGTGATCACTGTGTATGTGTGTGTGTGTGCGCGCCCTTCTCCTGGCCTCTGCCTTTCTACACTTACTCCTACAGATTTTCAGTCCCTCCCTATTCCCCACCCATACTGACTGCCACGGATACTGGAGAGCCATCAACCAAATAAGCCCACTTAGTCACATCTCCCAAAGTGATTCCCAATCCTCATTTTGCAACATCAAAGAGGTCACAGAACCAAAAGGGACCTTGGACATTATCCAAAGCAGCTTCCAAAAATCACAAGGATGGCTCACTAAATTCTTCTCATTAAACTTTTTTCCAACTTATTCTTTAAATGGATAGTTACTGTTCCAGGCACTGTGCTGGGGACTTGAGACAGTCTGCTCAGTATGTTTAACCTTCCTTAAGGCAAGGAGACAGCGACATAGGGGTATTTTTCATAGAGGTGATAGCTACAAACATACAAGGATCAGACTGCCAAAGCTGGAAATCACTGAATTGAGAAACCAGGGAAGAGAGAAAGATCCTAACACAGATTTGCAAGACTGGATAACTGCTCCTTCCCCTGTCTGCTGTATGAGCTGGGATTTTTTAAGACAGAACAGGGAGCACTAGAGACATCCTCAGAACAGGCTACGGGTTACAGGTGGGGTCAATCTGCCCAGCTTCTCACTGTAGTTAATGCCTCCCCGTTAACAGCAGGATCACCAATTCAGTGTTCCGGCTCACCAATTCAGTGTTCCGGCACAGATTTCAGCCCCTTTCCTTCCTCCTAGAAAGACTCTTCTCAGATACTCAGACAGATATAAATACACACACACATAATTTATTCTGTGGCCACTTCACTCACAAGTCTTCCAAGATAGAGAAAAGCCCTGCTAGTGTGGTTCAGTGGTTGAGTGTGGACCCACGAACCAAGAGGCAATGGCTGGATTCCCTGTCAAGGCACATGGGGTGATTGTGGGTCCGATTCCCAGTAGGAGGTGTGCTAGGAGGCAGCCAATCAATGATTCTCTCTCATCATTGATGTTTTATCTCTCCCTCTCCCTTTCTCTCTCTGAAATCATCCTATCTAATAATCCTATCTAATAAAGAGGGAATATGCTAATTGACCATCACTTTATACAAAGATGTCTGCACCCACAGCTGAGGCCAAGTTCCATAAGAAGCCTTAATGAGCAATCAGCAGGGACCTGAGGCTATGCCCTCCACCTGGCAGGGCTTGACAGGGGACCTCAAGGTGCACTTCCCCTCCTGGTGCTGGGCTAGGAGACCTCAGGCTGCTCCCCCTGCTCCAGTACCAGGCCAGGGGGCTTCAGGTTGCGCCTCCACCCAGCAGGGCTTGATGGGGGACCTCAAGGTGCACCTCCAGGCTACGAACCTGCCAGTGGGACTTGAGGGGGGGAGCCTGGCAGGGTTTGATGGAGGACCTCAAGGCATCCCCACCACCCCCACCCCACCCCCACCAGGGTCTGGGTTGGGGGACTTCAGGCCATGCCCCCCATCCTGGCACTGGGTCAGGGAATCTGAGGCTACTCCCCCCTGCTCGGCAGGGCTTGACAATGGTGGGACTGACCGGGTCTAGATCTAGCCCAATTTGGAGGGGAGAGGGACAGCCAGGTCTGGGTCTCATGCGATTTTGAGGTGCATGTGGGTGGGCGGGGACTTGACTCTGGGACTCAGGGTGAGCCCAGGACTCTGACAGGAGGAAGGTTTTCATATACATTTTAATATTTTTTCTTTCGTCTCTGACACGTCTATTATAGAGAAAGGGCAAATAGCAATATTAAATTATTTCCTCTAATTAATCACCTTGTAATGTGCACGGAAAAAAAAATACACACACACACACACACACACACACACACACACACACACACACACACGGTAGAGAGGAACCAGGGAGGAAAGCATCCAGCTTGACAGAGGTGGAATTCCCTATTTGCAGGCAGCGCTGCCTGGGATCAGAGGGCAGGCTGCTGGCTGCTCACCCTTAAAGCCCATCAGTGGTCGGCGTGGAGGGAAGGAATGCGCAGAAAGCAGCACCACGCCAGGGAAGGACCCGAGACTGTCCGGGAAGATCAGAAATTGACAAAAGGAAGAGTGCAATTCAACACCCACCAGGTTTTCAAAGAACCCTTAGAGAAGTTCTTTTGAAAGATCACAAGACAAAAAAAAAAAAAAAAACTAGTAAAACTGACGGTTTCTGTTTTGTAGGAGACTGTGGGCAGCTTTAGGGTGCATTAAAACTTGCTCGGGGAACGCAGGCACCGAGGGACGCCCGCCTGGGGCAGGCGGGCTCCGGGACCAGCCTCTCCCGCATGGCTCCTGGCCCTGGCTATCCAAGAGGGGCAGGAGCGGGGAAGGGAACTTGCGACCAGCTAGCTGCCTGGGAGCCGGGGAGAAAAGACCCCGGAGAAGGCCCTGCCGGTCCGACTGAACCTCCAGTTCCCTGGTCCCTGGCCTGGGGCAGGAGGCTGCCCGTCTCCCCGGGGGAGAGGCTCCTCCCGGCCCCGCCGCGCCGCAGCCCACCCCCCGCGCCCCGATCCCCGCTCACTCTTGGTCGCCGCGATGAGGTTCTTGCCGTCCTTGATGAGCTCCTTGATGAACTTGTTAGTCCTCTCGAGCTCCACTTCGTGGGCGCGGACCCTCTCCCGGAACCACGGGCTGTCGAGGTAGCAGTCGCTGAATTCCAGGGGCTGCAGCCCCATGACGGCAGCGGTCCGCTCCGCGCGCGCCGCCAGCCAGCGAGCCGCCCGCTGCAGCCCGAGCCCGGCCGGGGGCCCGGCAGGGAGTCCCGGAGGAGCTAGCAGCCCGGGGCGCGCAGCGAGCGCGGCGCGGACATGCCCCTCGGAGCCAAGCCTGGACGCGAGGAGGACCGGGCGCCCGGCTCCCGGCAGCCCCGCCGCCGAAGCTCAGCGCCCGCGGCCCCGCCCCGCGCAGCCCCCGCGCCCGACACCCTCCCCGCGGCGAGAGGCTGCCCCGCCCCGGGCGCCTCGCCGGCCCGCCCCGCTCGCCCCCTCGCTTTTCCCTCCCTCCCGCCTTCTTTCTTCCTCTCCTCCACTCCCTTCCCTTCCTTCCCCCGGACGCCTCTTCCTTCTCTTCCCCACGCGCAGTTGCCCCTCCTCTTCCTTCCGAGGCTCCCTCGCTCTAGAGTTTGTCTCCTACCCACGCCCCGGGGCGCGCGCCTCTCCCCTTTTCTTCGCCTCCCCGTTTCAGGGTGACTCACTGTGGGCTCCCCGAAGCAGGGAACTGGAGCGGGTCAAGGAAGGGGAGGCTTAATAGCAGTCGCTAATCCTCCGCAGCCAACCGGACGACATAATCCAGAGGTCTGGCATGCTAGCTAGGGGAAGTGATTGACTCATTTCATTTATCCGGGACCGGGCTTCAGCTGTGAAGGAACGCTGGGCTCTTCTTTTCTTTACTCACGTTCCTCCACCTCCACTTAATGTAAAATGCACGTCAAAGCTCCGCTTGACATCGAAAGCCTTATCTAAAACGAATCAATTGTTCAGTATAGTAACTTTTTAAAAAAATGACAACAATTTTATTAGCCACTTGTGATGTGCCAGGCGCACACTAGGAACTCTACATGCATGATTTTACAAGCTCGCGACGTAGGTTTGCACATGCAGTTTACTAATGATGTTAACGTCAACAAGAAACTTGAGCGATTGTTCAAAACGTTCAGTCTGGTAAGTAAGAATCTGTTTGGACAACATGTTGTAGGAGTGTGACCCTCAAGACCAAGTTAAATAAGCCTCCTACGCAATAAGCTCTTTTGTTACAAAACATCATGGTGCCTAACCCAAAGATAAACAGATAAACATTATAACTTTAATGTCCATCTCCAGAGGGCTGAAAATGTTTTACAAATAACTTTTTTAGGTGTTGAAAACTGCAGTCCCCTACTAAAATCAGCAGGGTGGCTGGAGGCTAAGGAGAAGAAAATAAAGGAGGGAAATAAAGAGGAAAAAGGACACTCAAGAAGCAAAGGGATGTAAACAAACAGTGAGGGCCTTGCAAAACAGTCAAGCATAGGCAGTCTACCTTCTGGGCAAAAACCTAAACTTTTCCTCATGAGGAAAAGCTGTTGACACTTCCTCAAAGTGTTAAACTTAGGGTTAACAAATGAGCCAGCAACTCCACTCCCTGAGTAGAGATACCCAAGAGAGATGAAAACATACATCCACACAAATCCTTGTTCATAGTAGCATTCTTCACGATAGCCAAAAACTGGAGTCGACCCAAATGTCCATTAGCTTGTGAGTAGATGAACAAAATGTATGTATCCATACAATGGAATATTAATCTACTATAAAAAGGAATGAAGTACAGCTGCATGTTACAACACTGTGAACCTTAAAAACATGTTGCTGAGTGAAAGAAACCAGTCACAAAAGACCACATATATTTTTCAATATAAAATGTCCAGAACAGGGAAGTCTATAGAAAGTAGATTAGTGGAGGGTGGCATAGTGATAGAGTAAGAGCTACCTTTTGTGGATGATGAAAATAATTTAAACTTAGATTTTGGTAATGGTTGTACAACTCTGTAAATATACTAAATATACCCATTAATTTTATATTTTAAGTGGGTCAATCTTTGTGGTATGTGAAATCTCTCGATTTAAAAAGAGAGGCTGCTTCAGAAGTGCCTCTTCTTCCTTACCACTTTCCAACTTCCAGCTACAAAAACTCTGGTTCATTCCATGTGGTTGAATTTTTAGATATTGGGACCAAACTAATTCTTTAAAACAATTTCACAACATTGAAAAAAACATTGTTATTGTGCCTTTACACATACAAAGCACACACACACACATGCACACCAAACAGCAGGTGGATATAAACCTTAGTTTAATACTAAATAAGTCTACTGTAATTGACAAGAGTGGGAGGGCCTAATCAGTTTTGTTTTATTCAATTACACCTTGTATTGAGCCGAGCAGAGATTATCAGTAACTGGGGAATGAATGAGAAGTATGACCAAGTGAAGAGAAAGCTTATGGTATAGTGGAATGATAGAAATTTAAGAGCTCCAAGTCAGTTTCACTATTCAATAGTTGTATGACCTTGATTAAAGTCCATTTTCTCTCCATCGCAGGCTTGCCATCCATGTAATGGAGATTGCAGCTGCAGGCTATTTGAGAAGATTCAATGAAACTGTTTATAAAGCACCTGTGGTAAATTATGATGATGAAGATGAGAAGAAGGTTGCGAGAGAGGGAAAGGAGAAAGAGATGGAGATTACATACTATCAGTGTGGAAAAGACTGGGGGCAGGGGAATCCCCTGAAATCACAGCATTAAACTATATGAGGCAGAATTCAAGGAAGGTGATTACAAAGATGCTACTGAGTACCCAGGTCTCATCTTTGGATCATTAATTCATTCATTCTTCCCACAAATGGCTGTAAGTTTCTATATATGTTAAGCACCATACTGGCTATTGGTAATACAGCAGTATACAGAAGAGTATCTGTCCCCACTGTGCTTTTGATCTCCAGAGGTAGATTGACATTCTATCCTCCAAAACCATATATGGAGGTTAGAATGGTCTCCTATTTAATAAAGAGGGAATATGCTAATTAACCATCAAACCATCACTCTGTCACAAAGATGGCTGCACCCACAGCTGAGGCCAAGTTTCCATAAGGAGCCTTAAGGAGCAATCAGCAGGGACCTGAGGCAACACCTTCCCCCACCCCTTTGGGGCTTGACAGGGGACTTCAGGTTGTGTCCTCCACCCAGCAGGACTTGACAGGGGACCTCAGGTCATGCCCCCTACCCAGTGGGGCTTGACAGGGGATCTCAGACCATGTCCCACACCTGCTAGGGCTTGATGGGGAACCTCAGGCCACGCCCCCTGTTCTAGCACCAGGCCAGGGGACCTGAGGCTACATCCCCTGCCTGGCAGGGCTTTACAGTGGTGGGACTGGCCAGGTCTGGATCTAGTCTATTGGGGCAGGAACCGGCTGCGTCTGGGTCTCACATGATTTTGAAGTGCATGTGGAAGGTGGGGGGGGGGGGAGAGGGTGGGAGAGAGACACTTGACTCTGGGTCTCTTGGTGTGCTTCAGACTCTGACAGGAGGAAGGTTTTCATACATTTTTTACTAATTTTCTTTCATCTCTGACACTTCTATTATAGAAGAAGGGCAAATAGCAACATTAAGTTATTTCCTTTAATTAATCCCCTTTTAATGTGCACAAATTTTGTGCACTGGGCCACTAGTACACACACACACACACACACACACACACACACACACACACACATATTCTATATAATAATATGCTAATATGCTAAGTGTTGGGTCGTCTGGTTAGCTGTTCAACCAATCAAAGCATAATGTGCTAATGATATACTAAGGTGGCTCAACCACTCTTTATGATGTGCCCTGTCCACCAGGGGCAGACAGTAAACCAGTTGACCAGTTGCTATAACATGCACTGACCGCCAGAGGGCAGACGCTCCAATGGGTAGGTTAGCTTGCTGCTGGGGTTGGGCTGATTGGGACTGAGCCAGATAGCCCAAACTCACCCTGGAGTCCTCCCACAGTCCCTCCCAATCTGGCCAACTTCCCACGTCCCTTCCTGGCCCCTATCATGTACTGCCTTTACAGGGGACACCTAGCAATTCAGGACACCTTTGGGGATATTGGAGAGCCAGTTTTGCCCAATGGCAGAACAACCGGTCACTATAACACACTCTGACCACCAGAGGGCAGACACTCAATGCAGGAGCTACCCCCTTGTGGTCAGTGTGCTCCCACATAGGAGCCCTGCTCAGCCAGAAGCCAGGCTCATGACTGGTGAGTGCAGAGACAGTGGCAGTAGCCTCTTCCCCCTCCACAGCAGCACTAAGCATATCTAACTGACGGTTTAGGCCCAGTAGTAGGCCTAAGCCATCAGTTAAGGTGCAGGCCCAGCTGAGGGACCTCCCCCCACAAGTGCATGAATTTCATGCACCAGGCCTCTAATATATATATTTAAACTAGTGGCCAGGTGCATGAGTTTGTACACATTGAAAGGAAATTAATTAGAAGAAATATTTTAATATCAATATTTGTCCTTTCTCTATAGAAGTGTCAACCAAATTCACAATTGACAATGACAGATCAAAACACATGTGTGCGATTGGCACCAGCAAGAGCTTTATATATATTGTGCATGTATGAGTCAACTTAGCCTTTTATTTATATAGAATAAACTTGTTTAATTAGACCTGCTTTCTGATTTAGCTAAAATCTCCATTTTCTGGCTAATGAAAAGAAAATAGGATTCCACCAAATCTCATATCTACCCATCCCAGGACTTCTATGAGGATCAAATGAAATGAGGCACAGGAAAATGCTCCACAGACATCTGTTTGCAGTGTAAAATCTTTGAACCTGGCCATAAAGCAAGCCATGTTCCTGGGCTGAAGAAACTCCAAGGAGGCTAGACTCTAGGGAGAGGAAACCGGGCATTGTTACATGACGTCTTTACCCAGATGGATACTTAACATATTAGCCTTTTATATAGAGAGATGCCATGCAGTTAATGTAAGGGGTGTTTCATAGATTATAATTGGGAAATATAAATTGGGGGTGGGGTCAAGGAAGACTTAATGAGGAAGTCATTTCATCAGTGACCAGAAGAATCAACAGGAGTTGAGAATTAACTAGGGGGTGTGAGCAGAGTAACCCAGGCAGGGAACCTGCCTGTG